AGCTATTAGTATTCTCCCATTTCTCTTCTCTTTTCCAGGCTAAACATCCCCATTCTGATCCTAGAATGGCATCATCTGTCTGGTGCACTTCTCATTTGGTGCCTATCCTTGGATGCATTCCATCTTGTTAACGCCCTTCCTAAAATGTGGTACCCATGGCATTGTGACCATGGCATTAGCTTTTCTGGAAAACTGGGTCTCATGGGACCAAAAGTAGAGGGCTAAGAACTAGCTAGGAAGAATCAGTGGGACACCTCATTTTGGGAAAAGATGGAAAATGGCCAGCTCCAGAGTCAAGTTCTTTGTGGAACTGCCCCCGTTTCTAGAGGAACAGATTTGAATGTGAGGGATAGAAATGCCAACTCTTCTGAAAGAGGGTTTTGAACTGCCTGACACCTGGGTTCAAATACTTCCTATGGTACTTACAACCTGGATAACCCTGAGCAAATCAAACCTTTGATTTCTCCCTTTGTAAAATGTGGGGATTGGCCTCAGCAGCTTCTGAGGTCCCTCCCAGCTCCGTATCTGGGATCCTACTTGGGTCCTTTAACTTCCCCAGGGAAGCTGTTGCTGCATTTGTTTTTTATCCTTTAGTCCTAGGGTTGAGTCACTACTTGCTCACGAGCTTCTGCAATGGCCACCAGGCATGGTTTAAGATAATGTACTGTGATTGGCAAGTATAGGTGCCTATATGGCTGGGCTTCATGTAAGTGGGTCAACTTACCCCCTCTTAGCTAATGTGCTGATTTTGTGATCTCTGTGTTATCTTTTGTCCAACTCTCCGTTATAGTCAAGTCAAGTCAAGTCAGGTCAATCAATATACATTTATTAAGTGCCTACTTAATAGGGACAGCTAGGTGGCACTGTGGATAGAGTGCTAGGCTTGGAGTCAGGAAGACTCATCTTCCTGAGTTCAAATCTGGCCTCAGACACTTCCTTGTTGTGTGACCCTGGGCAAGTCACTTAACCCTGTTGCCTCACTTTCCTCATATGTAAAATGAGCTGGGAAGGAAATTGTGAACCATTCTAGTATCTTTGCCAAGAAAACCACAAATGGGGTCACGAAGAGTCAGACGCAACTGAAAACGACCAAACGACAAAGTGCCCGCTATATGCCAGACACTATGCTAAGCACTGGGGGTACAAAAAGAAGAAAAAGATAGTCCCTGACCTCAAAGAGCTTCCAATCTAATAGGTCAAGTCTTTGCAACTGATAAGCTTCTTGGGCTAGTAACTACATAACATTTTTTAAAAATTAAAGTCCTGTCAAGTACAGAGGCTATTGCTTCTTTTTTGTTATTAATGGAAACCTCCCTGATTATGCTTTGAAGAAAGCTAGAGACAAACCTGAGGACGTAGAGCATCCCAAACATGGGGTAGCCTGTGTAAAGAAGGCAGGAGATGGAATGATGTGTATGGGGAGCCTCAAGCAAGCCAGTTTGCCTGGAATAGAGCACGCTTAAGGAAGATGTATGAATGTAAATTAGTCTTTAGAGATTGGACGAAGCCAGATTGTGAAATGTTTTTTTTAAACGCCCAATAAAAGCATTCTTATTTTATCCTGGGGCAATAGGGAGCCTACGAAGCTTTTTGAGCAGGAGACTGATGTGATCAGATCTGTGCTTTGGGAATAACAACCTGGCAGCGATGTGGAGGTTGGATTGGAAGAGGTAGAGTCTGAAAGCAAGAAAAGAAATTATAAGTCTGTTGCAATAGTCCAAGGGAGAGGAAATGAGGGCCTTCACTAGAGTGGCAGCTGAGTAAGTAGAGAAGCCAGGATAGATATTGTTTATCAGTTATTATTCCTTCTATCTAGGTTTTTGTAGGGGTAACTATTCCATGGTATGTTTTGGATTAGTTTTTCAATTTGAGGTCATGTATTAAGTGAGTTTCATATTTTTAGACTTTTTAAAAAATCTACCCCATATTTATTTTCCTTCTTATAAGAGTGTAGCTCATGCACAATTTAATGTCAGAATGGCTGGATTTATTTACCTTCCATTCTGCCAAGTTTAAATATCTATCTGCAGACTTACTCTACCATGCCTCCGCTCTACATCCTGAAGCCCCCCTCACTCCAACCTTGGGATTCACCCAGAAGAAGCAGCCTTCCTTCACAATCTCTCCCTGTGCTTGGATTGCTCCTCTGAGAACCTCTATTTAAGGAGGTGGCCCCAGCCACCCACGGCTTCCTTCTTCTCCAGGCTGCACTCTGAAGTCCCTCTGCCATGCTCACATCTGGTACTCCTGTCTTCCTCCACCTCCACCTTGTAGCTTCCTTTTATGCATTGCCTTCACCCATTGGAACATAAGCTTCTTGAGGGTAGGTACTGTCTTTCTACTTGTATTTGTATCACCAATTCTTGGCACATAGTAAGCACTTAATAAATGCCAGCTAACCGACATTTAAATATTTGGTATACAGTGGAGAGATTTGCTAAGTATTTAAGGGCTCCCTGAAGGCCAGGCGCTGTGCTATGTGCTAGAGTGTTGGAGACCAAAACCTACTCTCACAGAGTTTGCATTCTACTCGAATGTTCTTTTTCTAGGTTATCTAATCTGGAAGCTCAGTTTAGAGGCTGACATAGAATCCCATTTTCTACTGACACTTCTGTATATTTCCCTGAGGCTGGGGCCCCCTCAGTAAAGACAGGAATCCTGACTTTGGGAATACAGAAAAAGATGATTTGTTCCCTAATCCTTCTTATCATGTAACAGCAAAACGGTTTTTGATCCTCCCTCCCTCCCTTACCAATCTCATATAGAATCTTCAGATCATAGATTTAGAGCCGGAAGCTACCTTGGCAACCATCTAGCCTAACCCTCTCATTTTACAAATATGGAAACTAAGGCCCAGAGAAGGTGACTTGCCCAAGGTCACATAGGCAATAAGTGAAAGAGTCAGGATTTGAACTCGGGAACTTTGAGGTCGAGTTCTACACTATACATAGTGCTATACATATTACACTATACACCATACATATTAAAACTAATTTGCTTTGTTTTCTCAGCTAAAGGCCCTTATATCCTCCCACATCTCTCATCACAAATACATATATGTTTGTATGTGTATATATGTATGTAGCCTTCACAGCACATCCCAAGCTCTACCCTCCTTAGAGGGCACAACAGTCACAACTGAGAAGATAATCCTAGAATCTTCTTCCTCCACTGACTGTCAGTATTTGAAGGAAACCTCTTTCCTGCCTTACAATTCTTAACTTATTGTCACTCCTCACTTGGGCTAGGACAATGCTGTACTGGTCTACCCCATCCTAAATGCAAACAGAATCATCTGCCCATTGGACCACATCATGCTCCTTATCAGAAGGATATTTCATTCCCCATTCCACCTAGTCCACTCCATCCCAGCTTCCAGAGTTGTGCTTTTCTCTCAGATCCTCTTCCTCATCTGATCTAGGCTTTCTCTACTAACTTCATCCACTTTTTCAATGTCCCTCTTTACTTCTGCTGTCCCATTTCACACTCAACCAGGTTTCTCCCACATCTTTTCCAAAAAGCTTTCTTGCATTTAACATGGCATCGGGAAGAGAAAGACATTGCCAGTCGCCAAGCAGGCAATAAACAAGAAAGGCACCGGGGACAGATGTTCATCCTGAGACTGTTTGGAAAATCATGATTTACAGTGTCAACCACTGTGAGCTTACGCAGCTGTTTATGCTGCTGGGTTGTCTGCAACGATTCCTCTCCCGTGGAAACCTAAATGGGGCCAGCCCTCCATGTGATGGCTAGAAATCTGGGCCAGCACCATGCCCTACACTATCTGTGTGCCCTCTTTTCTACTGTTAATGAATTGTCTTTCATATTAGAACTGTACTCCCACTCCCCTGAAATTACTTTTACATAATTTACATTTACTTACAAGGACACCTAGCAGCTAGGGGACACATGGGGCCTGGAGTCAGGAAGACTCATCTTCCCAAGTTCAAATCTGGCCCCAGACATTTACTAGCTGTGTGACCCTGGGCAAGTCACTTAACCCTGTTTGCCTCAGTTTCCTCATCTGTAAAATGAGCTAGAGAATAAAATGACAAACTGCTCCAGTGTCTTCGACAAAAAATTCCAAATGGGGTCCCGAAGGGTCAGACGTGACTAAAAAATATGACTGAGCAACAAGTATTACTGTTGTCTTCATCCTTCTCTGCCCCCACCCATTGACTGTTACCTCCTTGAGGACAGGCATTGTTTCATTTTACCTTCACATACTCAAAGGAAGCTAGGTAGTGTAGTACATAGAGCACTGGATCTGGAGCAGACTCAGTCTGCCTCAGTTTTTTCAACTGTAAAATGGGGATGATAATCTCCTACCTGACAGGTTTCTTATGAGGATCAGCAATTGTAAAGCACTTAGCACAGTGCCTGGCACATAGAGAGTGCTTAATAAAAACTTGGTCTCTTCCCTTTCCCCAGTGTCTAACACTGCCCAACACATAATAAGTTTACATTAAATTGGGGAAAAAAGAAAGACATCTGGGCAAGGTCCCTGCCTCCAGTTTCCATGCCTGAAGATGTTCTAGTGAACATCATTACACCCAAACCAGAAGTGAGCACCACTCAGCCCCTAGATCTCCTAGTCCCTGCCCGCCACTAGCCCCTGCAGACTTTGGGGAGAGGGTTAGTTGGACTTCCAGACTCTGAAACCAGGCCCGCCAGATGCCTCTTTCTTCCCTAAGCCTTTCACAGTGCTTCCTTGCCTCCATGCCACACCTAACCTGACTTGACAGGAGCCGTGGAGGTGGGGCAGGGGTGCAGAGAGAAGCAGAGAGACAGAGAGAGACAGACACAGAGAGAGACATAGAGAGAAGAGAGAGATGATAGAGAGATAAGTGAGAGACAGAATCATTCCGCATGGTGGAAAGGAGGAAAGAAGAAACAAGACAAGGGAGTGGGCCCCCACAGGGGGATGGTGGTTGATTGATAACCCTGTGGCCCCTCCCATGATGCCCTGCATGGGCCCCCCAGGACCTCCCTGTCCATACCTGCAAGGAGGGCCTGGCCCGTGAACTGCCCATACACGGAGGCAGCATGGGGAAAAGCATTGAAGGATGGGACCGAGGCACCAGCGGGGCCCCCTGAGCCGACTTGCTGCAGGTCCAAAAAGGCCGAGCTAGATAAAGAGGAAGGGGTGGAGCTAGAACTGGACCCATCGGGGGTTTCCTGCTTTATGGCGAAGGGTGAATGAGGATCTGCCGGAGGGAGGGAGACAAACAATGAGAGAGGGTGGGATGAGAAGGCATGCACAAAATCAGAACATGAGATGCAAAGGGGACAGGATGGATTCAGGGGGCTGGGGGCTCCTCCCCTTGGAGGAAGGGGGCCTCAGCATCACCAGGAAAGACAAGGCCATATCCCCAGGCCTCCTGCTCTGGGTCCTCCTGGGGGTCAATGAGATGGCTACCATGGAAGGGCACAAGACAAAAGCTGGGTCTGCTTCAACCCTGTGCTAATCCTACAGGTTCAGGACCACAGGGTGACCCTTATCCTTCCCTGAGTTGGGAGAAGGAGGAGCCAGGACACGAGTGTGGTTGGCCTCACCCCTCTGGCTGAGCTGTGGCTACCCCTGGGCAGATTTCTATCTGTACAGTCCACCTCTTCTTGTGTGGCCCTGGGAGCCCTCATGGATCCTTCTTCTAGCTAAACCCTCTTTCTCCCTCAGCCACACCCCAGCACAATCCCAGCCCCTCATACCTGCCACCACAGGGTATGTCTGGTGAGCTGAGAGGTTGCGGCCAAGCGGTGTGTTGGAAGGGGTCAGCGTGGCCTTCCCATCATCCATGGCACTATTGAGCAGGGGCAGAGGATAGAGACCCTGGGGAGCAAAGAAAAGTCAGTACGTAGAGAGCCCCAAAGTTGTCAGAACCAGTTCAGCAGGATGAGGTCTAGAAGTCATCCTGAGGCTCCTAGACTTATCAACAGAGGGCCATATCCCACTTTTGTACAGGCTGCCTCCAGCCCATGCCCAATGCCACCCTGTGCAAGTCACTTAATCTCTTTGTGCCTCAGTTTCCTCATCTGCAAAATGAGATAATTGGACTCAATGGCCTCTCAGGTCCCTTTTGGCTCCAAGTCTATGATCCTATGATGTACTTTGCCCTCCCTGGCCCTCAGCCTTCCTGTTTGGACACAGAGAAAGAGACAAAGTTTTCTGGGGCATGTGACTCATTGCGGGATTCACAGAATAAGTCAAAGGATTATAGTGTTGGCAGGGACTGAGAGGGAATCAAGTGCAATTGCCACAGTAACTTAGAAACTGATCCCTGAGGAATTCATTCTTAAGATTCAATCACTGGCGAAGAGATGGATGCTGTATAGCAAGGCTACTGCACTGAGCAATCAGTCAGTCAAAGAGCATTTAGCAAGCACGGTCTATGTTCCAGGCACTGTGCTAAGCAGTAGGGGAGAGAGAGAGAGAGAGAGAGAGAGAGAGAGAGAGAGAGAGAGAGAGAGAGAGAGAGAGAGAGAGAGAGAGAGAGAGAGAGAGAGAGAGAGAGAGAGAGAGAGAGAGAGAGAGAGAGAGAGAGAGAGAGAGAGAGAGAGAGAGGAAGAAAGGAAGAAAGAGAAAAAAGAAAAGAAAAAAGAAAGAGGAGAAAAGAAAAAAGAAAGTCCCTGCTCTCAAGGATCTCCCATTCTGATAAGGGGAGGACAAGTAAATAATTGTGTGCTCCCAAGACATATACAGAGCAGATGGAAGATAATTATTCAAACAAGAAAAATACTAAGGGGTGAGGGCAGGAGTGGGGATGGCCAGAAAGGTCTCCTGCAGAAGTGGGCCACGAGCCACATTGTGTACATACAGGGCTTTTCTCTAGAAGCAAGTAAAGATTAATTGTTACTCCTAATCTTCCTTAGATATTTAGGGCTAATTTTAACAAGAAATTCTTGAGATTCACAAAGGGTTTATCAGACATCATTAATATCTTGATTTTAATTCTTACCAGTCTTCATACGTTCCTCTGCAGACTTTAGCACTAATATCTCTTGGGATTTATCTCAGTCAAAAGCTTGATGCATACATATACATACCATCCAGAGACTGTGCACCCCCAAACTCTTCAAATTGGGGGGCTTTCTAAAAGTCCCTCCTTTTGACTTTTTTTTGTCTTCTCCAAGGGGACGTGGAGAAACAGCCTTGATTCTGGAGTTGGAGGGGCTGAGTTCAGAGGACCTCAGTTCCTTCACCCATAAAATAAGAGGGTTGGACAAGATAACCTCCAAGGTCCCTGCAGTAATAGAATCCTACCACCCTAACTCACTCAACTGCCCTGGTGGTCCTCTAGAGGTCTAGATGAAGACTCTACCTAGAGACCTCCCCCTCCGCACATTGACCAGAGATGGCGCCCACAGAGCCAGACACAACACGAGCCTCATACAGGCATACTGCTCCCCATCAACTCAAACACAAGCAAACCCTCCGACTGTGATTACTTCTAATTATTTTCACTGATGTCATGGCTCCAAGGAACCATGTTGTTTTCCAGTCGTGTCTTGGGCGCTTCCAGAAGCCATATTATGTCCTCCAGGACACAAGAGAACCATTAAGGGCAGTGAAGCAGGTATTGACTAAATGGTCTTCAAGGAAGGGAAGATTGGCAGGAAAGGACCTATAGCTTACGATCGGACTGGACTAGAGCTCTTAGAACCCAGAGCAGGGAAACGGAACAAAATACCTCGTTTCTAGATCATTGGGTTGTTGTTGTTGTTGTTGTTGTTTAAGCACACCTTGTGGCCACCTCTACTCCCTACCTCCCCCAATCATCAATATTCAATCAATATAGTACAAGATATAAGGTGTCCCAAAAGTCTTAGTGCAATTTTAAGAGTTTTTTTTAGCTTAAAAGTGAGCTTTAAATAGCATGAAGACTTTTGCTACACCCTTGCAATCTTGCAAGAATTTCTTCTTGTTGTTGTTTTATTGTTTCAGTCACGTCCAACACTTTGTGACCCCATTTGGGTTTTTCTTGGTAGAGATACTGAAGTAATTTGCAATTCTTTCTCCAGCTCATTTACAGATGAGGAAACTGAGGCAAACTGGGTGAAGTGACTTGCCCAGGGTCATACAGCTAAGTAAGTGTCTGAGACTGGATTTGAACTCAAGAAGATAAGTTTTCCTGACTCCAGGACCAGCATTCTATCCGCTGTTCCACCTAGCTTCCCCTTGCAATAATTTTAAATGCCTAATTCATCTTTTTTTTTTAAGTACTCAAAAAAATCAATCAAATACCTATTATGCAGTCCAAACATATGAATGATGGCTTTTTTTTTTAAACTGAATCAAGGGAATATTTTGGAATTGCGTTCACATAGCTCTCTTCATTCCTGGTGTCAGGAATCATTACCAACGACTCTTTCTGCACGTCTTTACTTGTCAGAGGCTCTTCTGACTATGCTGAGACTTAATAGCCAGAACCGAAACTTCATGAGGCCTCTGTTATCACGGGCCTCCTACATTGGCAAACTGTTAGGGGACTTGACAGGAGCCCAGGGGAATTAACATCCTGGGGCCCAAGAGGATAGTTTGCTCTGGTGCCGACCATCCACTCTGCATCTTGGGTGACTGGCCATGTGGCTTCCCTGGGGTGTTTTCCTTTCTCAAGCAATAATACACATTTGGTTATGCCATGTTAATGTTGTCTAATAAATCCAAGTGTATGTAAAGTACACATATGTACCCATACACCTTCACATCATAGGTCTAGGGTCAGAAGGGACCTCAGAGGTCATCTGGTCTGACCCTTTCCTTTTACAGAGAGGGAAACTGAGGCCCAAGGAATTTAAGTGACTTGCCCAAGGCTGTCCAGGTAGTAAGCAGCAGAGATGGGTTTTGAACTCAGGCCCTCTGACTCCAAAGCTGATGTTCTTCCCACTGTACCATAGTGCCTGCTTGTCATTTCTAGAGAAAGAATAGCTTTGCCCTCTTACCCCAAGTGAGTGAGTGATTGAGAGTGTGAAAGAATATGTTAAGATTCTTAGTTAGCTCTGAGAATGAGTGAGCTCATGAGAGGATGTGCTCCTTAGCTCTGGGCAGAGAAGTTTACATTCAGGGCCTTTTCTTCTGTCTGGCAAAGGCCAAGGTGAGAGGCGGGGGGGAGAGATTGGTTGCTCATCAGACAAAGAGATTATATCGGCAATGGAAGAGTAAGAGATATATGGCAGGAGGGCCCCAGGCTTACAGAAGGACTCAGAGCCCAGCAAGGTTTCTCATCTCCACATGGGCCATGATGGATGTGTGCATATCAGTCCAATGCCAGGCTTCTGTCTCCACTTGTCTCCATTAACTTCCCCCATCTCCTAGACCTGACTAAGCAAGTTGTCCTGGAAGGAGGGGGGGGGGCACTGCTGAAAAATGGAGCCGGTCTTCAGGAAATGTTGCTTCCACAGAAGCCTTCCCCAGAGTCATGGCCGGGTTTCATTGGCTCTCAGCAGGCTGGCTGCTGTGTGGTCCATTGTTCTCCTGCAGGCTGGCTCAGTCACATGGATCGGGCTCTCTCTCTCTCTCTCTTTCTCCCTCCCTCCCTCTCTCTCTCTCCTCTCTCTCTCTTTCTCCTCCTCCCTCTCTCTCTCTCTCTCTCTCTCTCTCTCTCTCTCTCTCTCTCTCTCTCTCTCTCTCTCTCTCTCTCTCCAGACTCTTGGTGCAGACCTCACTTCTCTCCATGGAGTCAATGACACCTTCTCTGCTGACTCGCTGATGAACATCCAGGGCCTCTTCTTAGACTTGCTGATAACCTGTTCTCCATTGGCCCCCTCTTTGCAGCATCTGCTGCTGGTAAAAATCGCTGATGCATAATCCCTCCCCAGCTGCAGGTGTTGGCTTGGACCCAGCTCCCCAGAAAGCCATTGGCTACAATTCACTTGGTTACTGGTATCCCTACTGTAGACTCAGTCAAGCTGGCTGCAGAAGGAGAGACACCCAACAGCCATTCTCTCCAAAGAATGCCAAGTGGAGGGAGCTCAAGCTGGAACACTGAGCTTGGGAACTTTCCCAATCTCACTTTCAGGGGGGCCAAGTGAAATATGGAAAGCAGAATCAGGCTGGGTGACCCAGGGGGCAGCAAGAGGAGTAAGTATAGGAAAAGTCAACAAGCTTCTGGTTGAAGGATGGAGGAGAGGGAAGCAGGTGGCTTGGCGGGGGTTGGGGGGGGCTGGGGCTGAGGTTTTCTTAGTATGGTAAAATGTCTTTCCTTGATGTCTCAACAATGTACCTCCCCAAGATCCCCAGTCATCCCTATAACTCATTTTGTCTGCCCTAGCATTATTATTTGGAAACTCTAGGTTTCAGCCTTCATTTCTCTAGTTTGTTATTATTGTTCAGTCATTTCAGTCATGTTTGCCTCTTCATGACCTCATTTGGGGTTTTCTTGGAAGAGATACTACAGTGGTTTGCTATTTCCTTCTCCAATTCATTTTACAGATGAGGAAACTGAGGCAAACGGGGTTAAGTGACTTGCCCAGGGTCACACAGCTAGGAAGTGTCTGAGGCTACATTTGAACGCAGGTCTTCCTGACTCCGGGCCTGGTGTTCTGTGCACCATGGCGCCACCTAGCTGCCCATTTCTCTAGACCTGTCATCTTATCTGTCCTCAGTGGCTTGGGCAGGCTGGGCCAGGCTAAAGAGGACCTTGTCTGGAAGGGATGCAGAGAAATAAAACATGGACTGAAAGGTATGGGGTTTAGGGGGTTGGAAGAGGGAAGTCTTTTGACAGTAACTGAGTGATGTGCCAATTATCAGCCAAACAAAAAGCGTATTAGACTGGGAGCAGAAACTTCAGGGGGGGTGCTGGTAAATATTTAACAACCAGCTCTCCCCTCCCTCCCCCTAAAACGCATGCACAGCATGTTTTTAAATTTAATCTTCATTATCAACTTTTTCTTCTTTACTTTTTCAAGTTTAAACAATCAACAAAACAATAAAACGAATGCTGATGTGTAATGTTTGCCCATTTCAGAGGTATAAAGGCTCACACTGAAAATTTCACAATCAACTTTCTGAGAGCCTGCACAAGCTGACTCTCTAACACTAGCATTGTTACTAGTTACCTGTGCATCCCTAGCAAATCACCAAAACTCTTTGGGCCTCAGTTTCCTTATTTGTAAAAGAAAAAGATACTTGTCCTACTGATAGGCGGCCTGGCATAATGAAGGAGGGTTGGACCTGGAGTCAAGAAGATCTGGGTTCAAATCATATCTTGAACATTTAACTAGCTGTGTGAGGAGCTTGAAGGGAACTTAAAGGCCATCTTGTCCACAAATCCTCATTTTATAGATGAGGAAACTGAGTGCCAGAGAGGCAAAGGGACTTCCCCAAGGTCACACAGGGAGCAAATGGCAGGATTCAAACCCAAGCCCTCTGACTCCAAACCCAGCTCAATTCCCACTGCACCAGGATGCCTCAGTTCCTTCATGTGTAAAATGGAGAATACCTCAGAGGGGCTGGACCAGAGAGCTTCTCCAGCTTCATGATCCCATGATGCTCAAAGGTTTGTTATGAGTAGCAAGAGAGGGGTGATATGTCCTGGTTGGGAATCAGAAAACATGTACACAAGTCTCCTTTCCCTAGTCCTTTGTATGGGTTATGAGTTTAACAAGTCATTTTATTTACTTGCACTTAAGCTTCCTCATATGTAAAAGAGGGTGAATAATACCTAACTGACTCAAAGACACAGTGGGAAAATCCCTGGTGGGTTTAATTCATCTCTACCTATGTAACAATGTCTCCCCTTATCTGTAAAATGGTCAGATTCGATGAGCATTAAGGACCATCCTTGGTCTAAATCTGTGCTCCTACATAAGACACTCTGGGAACCTTAAAAGCAGATATTTGGAGACATGTATTAACATTACTGAGCTCTCAGTAATGTTTGTCAAAGGGTTCTAAAAACTATAAAACAAGGTTTCGTTTTTATTATTGTTACCTGGGGCATTTGTGTGTGTGTGTGACAGAGACAGACAGAGAGACAGAGATAGAGACGGAAAGACAGAGAGACAGAGAGAGATAGAGACAGAAAGACAGAGACAGAGAGAGGGAGAGAGAAAGGGAGATAGGAGAAGAGAGAGAGAGGGAGAGACAGAGACAAGAGGAAGAAGAAGAAGAAGAAGAAGAAGAAGAAGAAGAAGAAGAAGAAGAAGAAGAAGAAGAAGAAGAAGAAGAAGAGAAGAAGAAGAAGAAGAGAGACAGAGACAGAGTGACAGGAGAAGAGAGAAAGATAAAGACAGAGAGAAAGAGAGACAGAGAGGAGAAGACAGACAGAGACAGAGAGAGATCTAGATCTGGACAAAATGCTTTGTTTGTTTCTTGTGGACTCATAAGAAGTTTTGGAAACAGGCCTCCAGGTCTCATGGTGCTCCCCTCCCAGGGGGCCCAGGAACTCACCTGCTCGCCTTTGGTGTGGCTGGGAGATGGGTAAGCCTCCGTGTAGTGCTGCCTCTCAAAGGGACAGTCCAGTGACTCCAGGTGATGCTGGCTGAACGTATCGGTCCTCAGGTGCTTCCTCGGCCCGCTCCCACTGCTCTGAGAGTCAATGCTCAGCCGGCAACTGTCCTGGTCACCTGGGAACCCAGCATGGAGGATGGCCTCAGAGAAGGCCCCAGGCACCTCATGGCTTCCTCTTCCCTAGGGGCCTCTCTAGCGGAGGGGGGGGTCCCGTGCATTGTCCCAGGGACTCCCCCTAATGTGTGACACCTACCAACCTTGGCCTGCCTAGACCCCCTTAGAATGCCATACTCATTGGGTTTGAATGAGCATCCTTAGAAGATACTTAACATATAGTCTAAGAAGCAGAGCGTTAAAGATTGGGCATTAAAGACATCCCAGGAACTAGTTCTGTCCCTAATGCTGTGTGATCTTGGTGAAGTGATTTCCCCTCTCTGGGCCTCAGTTTCCATCTCTGTTCAATGATCAGATTACATTAGGTGACTACAAAGGGCCCTGTCAGCTTTGACATTTTCGGAGTCTACGAATCCCATTCCAGGGCAGGTGTTCTTCCAGCATCTTCCCAACACACAGGCCTGTTCTGATCTATCAGAGATGTCAGGGCCCTTGGGGACAGTATCTGCCCTCTTTAAGCACAGATGGAATGAATCTGCTCCTCTCTTCCGAGGACTGGGGAAACTGGAACCATCAGGTTAGTCATTGTGGTCTTTAAGACCTCAGGTGGGAAGTGTGGACTCCACTTTCCCAAGTGATGGCTGTGGCCAGCTACTCTTCACCTTCCCCCAGGGGCTTCCACTCCCCAATCCCTCCCCTACTCACTGTCATCCATTTTCCTCTTGCTGTCATTGCCAGGCTGAGCAATCCCCAAGAGTCCATTGATGGAGTAGGTTGAACCTAGTGAATCTGACTGTGGAGACTCTGGGGGTGTCACAGCTGAACTGGGGACTGGAGGGGAAACAAGACAGGAGACAGGACGGGTGTCAAAGTGATTCTCCAGTCCCCCAGGCAGGGAAGAGCAAGACTCTTCGGTCCAAAGAACAGAGGGCTAGAAGGAGGCAGTGTGACGGCAAAATCCACAGAGAGCCAGCCTCTGAGTCAAGAAGACCTGGGTTCAGATCCCCACATAGGGCTGTGTGACCCTAGGTAAGTCATTTCATCTCTGAGTGCTCCCAGGAAGCCCTTGATGCTATAAAGGGTAGAGCATGTGGCAATCTGCATTTCTAGAAGGTGTTTCCTTACCTCACTGAGTTCCTAAACCAAAAAAGTAATGGTCCATACTGCCCCCACCCCACCCCCACACATCAAAAAAAAAAATGAAAACTTCTCTCAGCTCTCAGTCCTGCCCATTCTGGAAAGAGAGAAATCAAGACACCGGATTTTATCACAGTTCTGCCATTAACTCACCATGTGATCTTATTCAAGTCACTCTCTTCTCTGAGCTTCAGTCTCCTCAATTGTAAAAAGGCAAGGTAGGGGAGGGAGTGCGGACTGAATGAGCTATGAAGTTTTCTGCAAGCTCTGAAACTGTCTCTGATTTTTAGCTTGTCCCTTTTCTGGCCACTCTTCAGAATCCAGCAGGGCTAGGGACATCTCATGCCTAATGTGTGAATATATCAGGGCATGGTCAAATGTGTATGCGTGTGTTCATGGGAATGCATATATGTGTGAGGATATGGGAATACAAGAGAGTACATGTGTGTAAGAGATTGTATAAGTGAGAGGTAGAAAACATAGAGCAGCCTGCTAGGCATAGAGTCAGGAAATATGGGTTCTAATCCTATCTCAAACACTTATTAGCTGTGTGACCCTGGGCAAGTCACTTAAATGCTTAGAGCCACAGCTTCCCCATCTATAAAATGGGGACAAGAACCCTTGTAGGACCCACCTCTAAGAGCTGTGAGGAAAGGTTACTAGGAAAACCTCAAATCACAAAGCCAATGTTGAGTCACGATAACACTGATGACTGATGGTGTGCATCCGTGGGTCTGGAGTTGGGGTTACTGGTACTTACTCAGGGTGTGTCCTGGACTCAGAGACTTGGAAGCTACACAGCTATCCATGGGGAGGTTGAATGGCTGCTGCACTTTGGTCCGAATAATTCTATTGGGAAGAGAAATGGGAGGATGTTGGGGACACTGGGAAGTCCAAAGCTGCCATAGCCCCAGCTTTCAGGTAAGACAAGGCTCTTTGGAGTCCAGAGTTGTCTCATGGGAGAGAGAGTGAGCTCTTTCTATACCCCAGAGATGGAATGCTCTACTTTCCCAGAACTCTAAGGGGTAGGCACCATCTTGGAAGGACCTTGATTCAAATCTAGTTCTGCCTCAAAAAAAAGCCACTTATCTTTTTTTTTTTGCCTCTGTTTCCTCATCTGTAAAATGAGAGGGTTGAAATCTATGACCTCTAAAACCTGAATCTATGAGCCTATAAGCTCATTGTGTCTTGGAAACCAGCAACATTAGACAACAGCATCAAGGAGAAGGGGACCTGCCTGCCATATCTAGATAATCAGGGAGCTGACTAGGGTGGCAAGTCCTATGAGACACCTAGCTAAAATCCAGCTGCTTAGCCAGCTAATTCAAGGGACCACCCATATAAAAACCCTTTGTTGAGGCAACTAGGTAGTACATTGGGTAGAGCATGGGGAATGGAGTCAAGAAAACCTGAATTCAAATCTGACCTCAGACACTTACTAGTGTGTGACCCCTGGGCAAGTTACTTAATCTCTCTTTGCCTCAGTTTCCTCATCTGTCAAATGAGAATAATAATAGCACCTACCTCATAGTGTTGAGACAATAATTGTAAGATGACTAGCACAGAATAAATATTATATAAATGTTAGCGACTATAATTATTATCTTTATTATTACTGAGAAAACTAGTATACAGTTTGTAAAGAAAGGAGATTGAAGATAGGTTTCCTCTGAGAAGAGGAGGGCAACCTTCAGCCAGGATACCCCCAAAAATCAAAATGTAAAGGAAACAGAAGGAAAAAGAACTTCTCTTAATTGAAATAAATTTAACAAGCATTTATTGAGTTACTTGCTTTGTGCCTAGCTCTGTGTTGGGCGCTAGAGATCCAAGTCAAAAATCAAAGCCTCCCCGTCCTTAAGTTCGTATTCTACTGGGGAGAGACAACATGCCCACAGCTTAGTTTATATAAAGAGCAAATTCCAAGTACTTGAAGGTAGCAGAGGGTATGATCACAAATGGATAGTTTAAGAAAGGACTAGTGGGAAAGCGGCACCTGAACTGAGCTTTGCAGAAAGCTAGGGATTCTCTGAGCTGGAGGGGAAAGAGGAGAGCCTCATCCTTATCTCAGCCATTCACACAGCCCCTGTACAGGCAGTAGAACAATGGCCTTTTCTCTCTATGCCTGAGGTCTGTGGCACCTTCTAGCTGCCCACCATTTCCTCCCCCAACCAACTTCCCCAAGGGACCAAAGCCATTTCGGGAGCCTAAAACTCTATTCTAGTCTGTTATGTATGGAAATGATATGCTGGGGCCACCATCCAATCCCTGCCCTAAATCCTCCCTTCCCTCATCAGAACTGATTCGTTGGTGACTCCCACTGGCAGGGCTCTGTGCCTTTCTCCTCTCCTACCTGTTGATTGAGCTGACGCTGGGGACAGTGTCATTGTCACAGACCCCTTCAGCCAGGAGCCTGTCCCGAATCTCCCAGGCGAACATGGTTGGATTTTGTCGCTTGTAATCCCCAATCTTCTCCACCACCTTAGGGGTGGCCACCTTTGGCTTCGAGCCCCCAATCACTCCAGGCCGGATGCTCCCAGTCTCGTAGTACCTACTCCAATAGAGAACGCCAGAGAATTACCCAGTAAGCAAGTGAAGACAGAGAGGGTAGCAAGCAGGAGAGTGGGATAGCAGAGTTCAATTCTTCCTGGCTTTAGTCTGTCCTGTTTAGGAGTTCTTGAGGAAGAAAATGTGGGCTGCTGAAATGGGCCTCCAAAGGGATGGTTTTTGGAAAGCTTCAAAGACACAGGACAGTTTAGCAGAATGAGTACTTGGGCTGGTATTAGAAGAGCTGAGTTCCAATCACGCCTCTAATACTTTCTACCTGTGCAACACTGGGAAAGCCACCTTGTCTCTCTGGACCCTGGTTTCCTCAGCTGCAAAATTAGGGCAGTTGAAGCACATGATCTCTAAGGTTTCTTCTATCTTTAAATCTCATGAGGTTCCCTACCCCTTACCCTCAACCCCAAAATAGGATACTCACCCTTTAATAGGATCCTAGACCTGGAGTTACAAGGAACCTCAGCGATCATGGAGTCCAACCCCGTCAACTTACAGATAAGGCCCAGAGAGGTAAAGTAACTTGTCCAAGGTAGCAAGCATCAAAGGTGGGTCTGAAGCCAAGACTCCTGACTCCACAGTAGGGGCCCTTTCCACTGTGCCTTGCTGCTTTCCTTCTTTACTTCTTCAGCTGTCCTCCCCATATCTCCAGTGGGGTTTGCTCTTTTAAGGGGTACCTGCACTGGGTGGGAGGTTGGACCCACTTCCACTTATTTATCTGTGTGACCTTGAGCAAGTTACTTAAACTCCCTGGGCACCAGTTTCCTTATCCATAGGAGGGGTCTAGACTAGTTGACCTTTGCAACCCCTTCTGGCCCTAAGTCTATGATCCTGTGACCCTATAACTTCTAACTTTCCTTCTACCCTAAGATTCTAGGCTAAGAAGCCTAATGGTGCAAGCTATAGGCAGAAAAGGGTAGCTACAGGGAACCTGATTTCATATTATTCAATCAGCTTGGCTTGGGTTGAGAAATTCGTCACTTTTTCCTCTCTGGCTCTCACCATTTCACCTACCCAGGTATCCCAGCTCCCTCTGCGACCTCAGGACTGGCTCTCTCTGGCCTCTGTTGCTACTTAACCCTTACTTTGTGCCCTTAGTTCAAGTCTGGGCTTGTTCTCTTGCTCACTAGGTCCCTGGACAAGTAAGGTTCTGTTCCCAGTCTCATTCATTGGTCAAGATGAAAACTATTGAGCCTCAACCCATAACTATCCCTAAAGAAAGACTTGCTAAAGAAATTGCCTAAGTTAGCCTTTTTTCTTTTCTTTTTGTAGCACCTTCTCAAGTTCCTTCAAGTGGAGTCCATTATCCATAGGTAATAAAAACAACAACAATACTACCATATATATATATATATATATACACACACACACATACACACACATATATATACACATATATACATATACATATATATGTGTATATATATATATATATTTGATGTTTGCAAAGTAGTATGTATAACTATGTACATACACATATACAGATACATGGATATATACATATGCATATGAGTTTGTGTATGTGCATATACATCTATAGATGTGTATGTATGTATGTGTGTGTGTGTATATATATAAAATATATAATTTGATTCTCAAGGCAATCCTGTGAGGTAGGTGCTATTATTATCCTCTTTTTACAAATGAAGAAACTGAGGCTCAGAGACATTGAGTGACATACCCAAGGTCATGTGGCTAGTATCCAAGGTGAGATTGAACTCAGATGTTGCTGACTCTAACTCCAGCATTTCTGTGTTTGCATCCTCAGTATCTTCCACAATGTCTGAGCATAGTAGGTAGCTTGGTGTGATAGACAGAGTCAAGTTCCAAAGACCTAGGTTCAAATGCAGCCTCAGATACTTAATGTGACCTAAGATAAGTCATTCAATTTCTCTAAATCTCAGTTTCCTCAGCTATAAAATAGGGATAATAACTCCTACCTAAGGGGACATTGTGAGGACCAAAATGAGAAAATGTAGACAAAGGGCTTTGGAAATATTAGAATAAATGTCAGCTATTACTTTGGCTTTTATTAATAAATCATTTATTGTCAATGAATAATAAATTATTAAAATAATTATTAGTGTTATAACGAACCTAAATTCCTCAATAAACTAACTCCTGGGGCTCTAAGCCATGCTCCCTGATTTATCTTCAGAACTGACTTTCCCTCCTTCCCTTTTCTGCTCTCAAAGCTATCAACTCTTTTTATCCCATAGCTCTGCTCTAACTCTGAGCCCCCATCCCTAGTTATCATGCCTCATATCGTAAGGATCCAAGTCCTTCATCTGGCCTCTCTCTGCCTCTACTTAAACAATATGAGAACAGAACAATAGCACACATGGTGTGAAACTTCTATGCCATCCCTCAGTCCCGCTCAGAATGAGGAAACCCTTAAATCTGCAAGAGAATGTGGGGGATACAGGAGACAGCCATTATTATAGTTCTCTAAACTCTCAGATACAAGAGCTTCTGAGGATGATATTCTGGATTAGAAGTGGGTTGTGTTAAAGTCCAAGGGTGCTTCTCTGCCCAGGGTCCAATCAGATCATGTGCTCAGCCTTAACTCTGTGTCAGGCACTGTGCCAAGTGAGGGAGATACAAAGAAAAGCAAAAGCAATTCCTGCCCTCAAGGAGCTCCCATTCTAATGACAGGCACAACATGCAAACAACTATGTACAAACGCTATATACACAGTGTAAGTGGGAGATCATCTCAGAGAGAAATGGAGGGATCTAGAAAAGACCTGGTAGAGGGGTAGAGAGGGGGAAAGGAGGGATCCAGAAAAGGCTTTCTGCAGAAGGTGGGGTTTGAGTTGAATCACCAAGAATACCAGGGAAACCTGGAGGCAAAGGAGAGGAAGGAAAGCATTCTGGGCATAGGAAATAAGCAGTGCAAAGGATGAGGGTGGGGCAATGTAGTACTGTGTTCTAGCAATAGCAAGACAGTCTAGATCATTAGAGGAAAAGCCCTGGGAAGGGGAATGTTGGAGAACAGGGCAGCCAAAGGCATTAGGCAGCAGAGATGAATTTCGTGCTTACCTGCCCAGTATCTTGCTGACACAGCCGTGGCTGACCCGGAGCTGGCGAGAGATGTCACAGGGTCTCACACCCTGGTGGGCCAGGTCCACGATGCGCTGGCGTACCACCTCAGGGAGAGGCCGGCCATTCACAAAGGCTCCACCCAGCTGGTTCAGCCCCCCATGGCCTAAGAAAGAACATCCCCCCATTCCCAAATGGATGGGAGGAGGAGGAAATAAGAGAATTGAATGAAAAACTTGCTTGCCCCCAACCAAAGCTTGCCCATTTGTATTTTGGCATATGCCAACCATGTGTGGCAGACATCTACCTCTAGTTTTCTTGCAAGCAACAAGTGAGCCCAGCACCCTCATCGCTTTAATCCCATCATAAATAGACCATCTGAGAAAGGTCTGTTGGCAGTAGGGGAGGAGAATGAAGTTAAGGATTCTCAGGAAGAGAATGAGAAGGGATGCTTTCCAAAATACTGAAGGATGGGTAGATTCAGGGGCAAACAGAAAGGCCTTAGGGGGTCAAGGACACGGCTGATCTCAGACACACCTCAGTCCCAGAGTAATGGGTTTGAAATCAAAAAACCTAAATACAAATCCTGCCTTTGTCATTGTCTGCATAACTTAAGGTAAATCGTCTTAGTTTCACCATCTGAAAAAGGAAAGTGTTGGACAAGATGGCCTTTGGGGTCCCTTCTAGCTCTAAATCTTTGGTCTTATGATTCTTCCGTTGTCCTCTCATACAGAGAAAAAGAAAATCTCTGCTTTTCCCTTCTCTACTCTTTTTTCTAATATTAATTTATTTATTTAGTTTTAGTTTTCAGCATTCACTTCCTCCTTCTCTACTCTTATGCTCCTAAGGAGGCAGATAGAAAAAACATTGTCCTGGAAACCAATCAGGAGATCCGAGTTCTAGAGTTAGCTTCTACTATTCACTCAATGTACAATATACAGTGTCCAACCTTAGATATATCATGTCCCTCTCTCAGCCTCAGTTTTCCCAACAATAAAATGCCAGGGTTGAGCTAGAATTTGGGGTTCTTCACCTTTTTTCGGGCCCCTTTGGACTTTTTGTAGTATGGTGAAACCTAGGGACATTTTCAAAGAATAATTTCTTTAAATGTATAAAATACAAAGGAAATTAACTACATTGAAATACAGTTGTGAAAACTAGTTTAAAAATCAGGTTTGGGGGCCCTAGGTTAAGAATTCCTGGCAGATAATCTACAAGGTCCTTTCTACTTGTGATAGTCTAGGATTGAGTCAGCCAAAGCTATTTCATCAAATTTGACAATGTTTTCTTCTTCTCTTCCCTGATATAAAATGTTCAACAAGACTTAATTCACCATTGGGCTACAGGGCAGTCCCAGTCCTCAAGGACAACTGGACCTGATGCTTATGTTTTACAGAGAAACCACTAGAGTGCCCATTAGTTCACCCACATGCTGTACCCCCAAACCTGTCCCTATTCTTCTCCTTCACAGAAGCAATGTAGGCAATTTGGAGTGGGAGGGAGAGAAGTAGTACAAGAACTATCTCAGGTCGCATCATGACCTGGAAGCTAAATGCCTTTCCTGCCTCTCCCTACTGCACCTATGGCAAACACCCATCTATCTCCCTTGGCACCCTGAAGGATGATGATAGTGGAGCCAAGATGTTGTTGCCTCTGATCCTGGCACTCTTTAAGGAACTATTCCCCTCTCTCAGTCCCTGCTCTCCAGCAACACCAAGCTTTGCCTTTATTAGCCCTCTAGCTATATAGTTCTTACTCCTCCCTGAATACTCCTTTTTTCCCCTCCTTTTTTCTCCCACTCAATATCTACACCACTCTAAGTGAACAGCCTCCCTCTCCCCAGTCTCTTGGACCCTAGAGCTGATTATTCAGCATCCTGCCATCTCTACCCTCTGCCCCTTTAATCTTGTTCTACAGACAATGATGAGTTCAGGAGAGATTTGGGTAGTTGGAACTTTAGGGGGAGGAGAATGGAGGAATGAGACAGGCAAGGGGAAAGAGACATTCAGCTGTCCTAGGGATCAGCATTTCTAGAAACTTAATAGAAAAAGCATGGGGCTAGGAAGTGGGAGATTTTCCTGCTAGTCCTTCCTCTGCCATGTGGCTTTACCAAATCATTTCATCTCTCTCTGCTTCAGTGTCCTCATCTGATGAATGATGGCAATAGGGTGGAAGGTCAGATGTCATGGTCTCTTTAACCCCAGTGGTTTCCCTGTATTACAATATTGTGTCGTCAGGGAACACCATGATCACTGAAGAATCAGAAACTCTGATGACTCCATGAGCAATGGAAGATACGTGGAGAGGGAGAACAGACTGCACCATATTACTGACCATGCCCTATAGAAGTAGTATAGGAGAGGCACCACAGGATGGTGGAAAGAGAAGCAATTCTGGTATCGAAGGACTCCAGTTCCAATTTCTGTCACTCACTACATGGGTAACCTGGGCAAGTCTCTGGGTATCAATTTTCTCACTTTTAAAATGAGAGGAGCTGGTCTAGATAGCCTCTAATATCTCCTCTGACTCTACATTTCCAATCATATTCTATCATCAAGGATGATGAGAAAAAGAGGCAGGCTGGCCATGTAGCAACAGTAATAGATAACCCCCAAAGAGCCTATGTACTAGGATTTAATGACAGTCAGGAGCCAAGAAAAGATTTTGGCAATGTTGGGTCCAAGCTAAGAAGGTAGAACTTAATAGGAATAAATGTAAAGTATCTTACTTGAGTTCAAAAAATCAGTTTCACAACAACAGGATAGAAGAGGCAAGGTTAGACAACAGCTCACCTAGAAAAGATATGGGGGTTCTGGTGAACTGGGAAGTTCAATATGAGTGTACTGTGTGATATGGAAACCCAAGAAAATGAATGAAATCTTAGGGTGCTTAAAAGAGTCGTGATCTCCAAAACAAGTAACAGTATTGCAGGAGAAGAGGAAGAAGAGGAAGGAGGAGGAGGAAGAGGAGAAGAAGAAGAAGAAGAAGAAGAAGAAGAAGAAGAAGAAGAAGAAGAAGAAGAAGAAGCAGCAGCTCCAATATGTTTGATGGAAACTATGAGGATAATTTATACAAAGACACGGATAAGACTGCATTGAATAAGAGGGCATGGAAGGGCCATGGCCACTGGTTGAAGAATGTCAATGAGATCATGGATATATCCAAGCTCTAAATAATAAAATCTAAATCACATCACATTTCATTTTTGTGTCTCAGTATACCCAATGGAGGAAGGGTATGTGTGTGAATGAGTTCTGCCATCTCTTGGAACACAGAGTTCCTTGAAGGGATGAGAGAGAGAGCCATAGTGCTATGTCTTAAGATTTTATGGTTGTGTGAGAATCAATTCTAGTTCCTAGCTGGGCAAATTAGAAGATTGTTCTGGGGCATGTGGCCCACTTTTCCAGAGCTTTCAGAAGTCTAACAAAGGCATAACAGCTGTGCCAACCATGCCATGAGTCTAACAACTCTATTGACAAAGTGTTACAAGGTTTATAAAGCTGAGGCCTGGGAATGACAAGGTGGAACCTCCAAATCAGACCACATCCTGAGTACTGCATTCAGTTCTGGGCACCATATTTTAAGAAAGGCGTTGGTACATGGGACAGTGGTCCAGGATGGAGATGGCCTTGACTCCATGTCATATGAAGACCAGTTGAAGGAACTGGGCAGATTTAGCCTACAGAAGAGAAAACTTGGGGGAGAGGGAGAGGGGAGAGTGGACAACATGATAGTTTTATTTGAGGGGTTGTCATGTGGAAACTGGATTGGTTCTGTTTGGCCCCAGAGGTCAGAAAAGGAGCAATGGGTGAGTGTTGCAAAGAGGCTGACTTAGACTTGATATTAAATAAAATTTCCTAACAACCTGAGCTGTCTGAAGTGGAATGGGCTGCCTTGGGAGCAGGATAGGTTTCCCTCATTGGAGGTCATTAAAAAAGAAATTGGGTGACCATTTGTTGGATATGCTGTAATGGGAATTCTCTTTCAGGTATGGGTTGGTCTAGATTAGAATTCAGAGGTTCCCAAACTTATTTGGCTTACTGCTCCCTTTTCAAAAAACATTTAATCAGTGCCCCTCTGAGGTTAGGTTAACCCTTATTTTTATTCAACATCCCCCCAATTGCAACCAAGGCAACTACAGCCCCCACCCTGGATCGGTCCAGCACCCCCAGGGGGAAGCATCACCCACTTTGGGAACCAATTGGCTTCTTGAGTTCCTTTGAACCAGAAAATTCTGTAATTCTGTGAAATTCATGATCAGGGGCAAAACAGCAGGATTTCAGTTTGGTGACTTGTGATCTAATAACTTTCCTTGATGGAAATGGAAAGAAGTTGGGGAAGGGGAGGGGGACGAGAGGAAGGGAATGTATGTGTGCGTGTGTGTGTGTGTGTGTGTGTGTGTGTGTGTGTGTGTGTGTGTGTGTGCAGATTCACAGAAGAGCTAGATTTGTAAAACCACTTAAGTCCTATTTATAGCAAGGGTGGGGACCCAGACATCCAGTGCCCATTCTCACCCACTGACTTCAACAGTCAATTTCCCATTAAAAAAAAAAAAACAAGGGGCCTCTTTGATGTGGGCAGCAGGACAGTGGGGGAAACATCCCTGTCTAAATGTGGAAAGCAAGGCATCCTGCCATCTTCTGGTAGTGCCAACAGTTTGAGCCCAGTGACCATCTCTGCCAATGTGGTGTAGGGTAAAGAAAACTGGGCTAGGGATTCAGAAAGTCAAGGCTCTAGTTATAGGATCTCAAGGCCACAGGTTCCCCATACCTGTATCTAGTCCCTTCCCTGCCCTTAGCAAATCTCTGAGCCTCAGTTTCTTCCTCTGTAAAATGGTCATTTCAACTCTATCTATTTTGTAAGGCTGTTGTAGGATGCAATGGAACCTGCAATCACAGAATTACAGAATCTCTGAGTTGCAGAGGCTCTCAGAATTCAGTACCTGACCAACATAATGAATGTGAATGTGTTTTTAAAAAAACCAATTTAGGCAATGTAAAAACAGAAGATGCCAATAAATATTTATTTTAAAGAATTAAATGAAAGGGATAGTGAATATTATGTTACGATCATAGCAGAGTCAACACAGCATGCCAGATAGCTTGCCTTGAAACCAGAAAGACCTGGGTTCAAATCCAGATTTTTCCACATATTGGGTATTTGACC